CCCAAATGGCTACGCGTGTCAGCACTGACACGCGTGTCATAGGTTCGCCATCACTGTTCTAGTGCTTTATTCAAGAATGAAAGGGGGGGGATTCCAGGCAACTCTTAAGAACCCCAAAGGAGCAGGGGAAACAACCAAAAACCCAAGCTGTAGCTTCTCTCCAGATGGATTGGGGGGAAGGGGGAGGAGCCTGCTCTCTGCACATGCTCAAGGGTGCTCCCAGGCTCTCCAGTTTCAAGTGCTTCGATCTGAAAGGCAGCCTTGTTCCTCCAGGAGGCTGACAGAGAGAAAAACCGCCTCCTCTCCCCTCCCTCCCTCCCTCCCTTAAAAGGAAGCCTCCAAGCAGAGTTGAGGCTGAAAGGCCACTGAGACAAATGAGCGCTAGGCAGAGGAGACAAGCGGAAGCCAGGCAGGTGATCTCATGTTCACATCAGCTGCAGGAAGCTCCCTCTTGCAAGATCATCGGGGAGGACTTGGAATGGCATGGCTGCTTCTGGGCAGGTCAAGACATCAGTGGGCCACCAACTTCCTTTCCCAGGACCAGTCGGGGGCCCATGGTGGGTGGCTATTTTGGAAGGTGTGGGTTCCTGTGTATTTTTCCAGGAGAGACCCTGCAGGGGGGATTAGGAGCTTTGAGGATGGGGGAATACAGTGATATCCCCTCTTGATGGAGGGATGGAAGTGGCAGCCTTGGACATGGGGGAATGTGGGTCTTGCCTGCCAGCAGCCTTCCTTGTCTATCTGCCTCTTAGAGCAGCTGCTTTGAAGAAGAACTCGCTGTCTACACTAGGCAATCTGACTCTCCTGTCCCTGCCCCCTCCTTTCCTTCCTTCCTGAGAAATCTAGAAAGTGTCCCATGAAGTGTTCCTAATCTGTTTTGCCACCCTTGTGGGGGGGGGGGGCGCAGTCTCCTTAGCCTCCTCCCCAGCTGATTTGTGATGGCACTGGCCTCCCCTTTTACTCTGAGACCTGAGTGAAAGCATCTCAGCTTCTCAGCGCTGGAAAGGCTTCTGGTGTTAAAAGGCAACAAGTGTGATTGGGAAACCCACCAGATCCAAGGATTGGGAATGCGCTTCCAGACTTGGCCTTTTCCTCTCTGGCTCCTGGGATCTTTCTTGGTGTCAGCAGGTCCAAAGACGCAGCACTTGCAGTTAATTTCAGAGGATATTTTCCCCATCCAAAATGCCTCACCCGGGGCTCTTTCCTCCTGGCTGATGGGGGTGGCAAAACACACCGACTCTTTTGCTCCCTGCTTCTCTGGGCAAGTTGGAGGCTCCCGTCCTGCATTCCAAGGGTGCGAAAGGAAGCCTCCAGCTCCAACAGATCAACCTGGTGTTGGTCCTGTGCCCAGGTTTCATTGTGCAAAGGGCACTTGGAATGGAAAGTTTGGCAGCTGTCAAGTCCTAGTAACATCGAAATGTCAGAGGTTGGAAGGTATTTTGGAGATCCTCTAGTCCATCCCCCTCCCACTGAGATAAGGCCATCCAGCTTGAGTTTATACATTCCAGGAGAGAAGACGTCTGCATTCCAAGAGAGCAGCTCTTACTCCTCATCTCTGTCTTCTGGAACAACTGCTCCATCTTCTGTCCAAAGTCTCTGGATGCCTGAAGAGAGTTTCCAGACATTAAGAGACAATCATTAAGTTTCAATCAGAATAGAGCTGAAAGGGACCTTGGAGGTCTTCTAGTCCAACCCCCTGCTCAAGCAGAAGAGACTATTCCATTTTAGATAGGTAGCTGTTCAGTCTTTTTTTTTTAAACCTCCAGTGATGAAGCACCCACAACTTCAGAAGGCAAGCTGTTCTGCTGGTTAATTGATCTCACTGGTTCTCAATTCCTTGTGGCAATTGTGCTGAAATTCTGTTGCCTGCTCTTCAAGAGTGTATATCTACCCAAACACCTCTCTCTCTCTCTCTCTCTCTCTCTCTCTCTCTCTCT